CCCCCCCCGCTCTTATCGAGGCGCCGGATGAACACAAAGTTGCAATAATAAACCGATGATCGCAAGCCTTCTTTGAGTCATGGCTACACGACGATGCCCCCTCCCCCTCCCCCTCCACACACACACACAGAGAAACATACCGGTTGTGGCACGAATGTTAAGATTTAGGCACTAGAGAAGTCACAAGTGAAAAGGGCGTAAGTCCTCGGACTTCCTATGGGACTTACTGACACTATAAAGCAGCGCTTGGATTCAATTGGCTAGCCGTAGAACTTCACCCCGCTCGCCGGTTGGCCGGCCACCCTTATCAGGAGCTGCTGCACTCCGATTGGTCATAGATAAGGAGTGTTGAGCCCAGCCCCCGGGCGGGGGCAGGTGCCTCTGGCACATGGCCTCCTAACTCCTCCTCCTACCCGTCATGTTTGTTTACACCGCCCGCGCCCCGGCTACCCCGGGCCGGCGGTACTCCGCGAGTCTGCCGCGCGGGATACTACTCGACTCGATTATTAAGGCTTCGCCTCTTATTTTTATTCAGATTCTTTATCTTTTATTGCGTTAAAGGCTTAGCCAAATACGTTGGGTACGGGCCGGGGTGTCCAGGGATACAGCGTAACTGGAGAGTAAGAATCGCTCAAGACAGACCTTGGTATATTACATCCTATATTCTTGAAAACCAGGTATTCTTTAAAACCCAGTACACTCATGTGAAGACTTTGTCTCGAGTCACTTAAAGAAGTTAATTCGTACAGAGGTATTCTTGCTATCCAACGTTCTCCCTATCCTATCCATGTTTCACTACGAATACGGTGCTCTTGATTCGCATAAAGGAAATTTACGAACACGTGTTTCTGTATCTAACATATGAGACACCGTTTATTTTCTTTTACAATCTTTTAAGTAAGAAAAAGGAAAAAAGAAAAAGACAAGCATCTGATGTTCTTCAATTTTTGACTGCATGTTGATCTCAGTATTGCATATGAGAAATAAGCACACATAAGAGGCCTGGTATTAAAACTAAAATTTCAAACAGACCAATATGTATAAATCACTCTGAGGGTGAATATTATTTACAACAGACAAATTATGGAACAGAACTAAAAATAAATTGCACTAGCAGTCAAGTTGATTGACAGACGTAATACTTGAATAAAAACTAGGTAAACAATAAAATCTTAAAATTTTGAAAATCCGACAAATTATAATTGAACGAATTAAAATAATTGAATAATTGCCTTAACTATTCACAAAAATAAAATGTATTTACAATGGTATATCCCAACATAAATTGAGTAAAAAAGATGAAAATGTGATGATTGTTCTTTAGATGGTGATACACTGTACCTAAAAAAAACTGATGTTCTCTTATATACATACATAGGTCAAATTCATAACTAAAAAAATCATTGAACTACTACAGACACGTGTTGCCCAAGGTACACTAGCCATGGGTTTGGTCATCCTCCACAAAGTCATATGCCTCTTCTCTAGTTACACATTCAACATGTGAAACCTGAAAAAAGCCACAGGAGCATAAACGGATGAAATTTAAGTTAAGTTCAATTGACAAACAAAGAAAAACAACTTACCTTATTCCTAAATTTAACACCATAAAATTTATTAGCATGTTCCAACAGTTCCGGTCTGAAAGTAGTTGTAATAAACTGAGCTTGACCAGCCATCGCATGGATCATATCAGCAACTGCTTTACGATGTTGAGCATCCAATGCCTGTATAGATTTAGATCAAGGTAATTAACTATGCAGAGCTCTAGCAAAGTACATGGTATGATATAATAATTGCACATTAGTTTTTTGTTTGATTGTAAATCATATTAACAAACCTGATCAATCTCATCAAAGAGATAAAAAGGAGCAGGATCACACTTCTGAATTGCAAAAATAAGTGCCAAAGCAACAAGTGATTTTTGACCTCCAGAAAGTTGGTTCATCTCTCTCATTTCACCATGATTTTTACCCACAAATGAGACTCTGATGGAGACACCAGTAAATTGATCTGAATCAGTTTCCTGATAGTAGAAAAGAAGAAAAGTGCATGTTTTATCGGCAAATACAGCTAACTCAACAAATAAAAAAGCACATTAGATATCAAAAGATTCAACTTACAATGCGAGGGTTTCCACCCTCTTCACCATTTGCAGTCATCATGATTAATTTAGCTTCACCTTCTGGCACAAGTTTCTTGAAGACATCACTGAAGTATTTTGTGACTTGTTTAAATGTGAACTGTATGGCTTCGAATTTCCTTTGCTCGAGCACATTCATTAACTCCTTAATCTTTTCATCACTGTTTAACAAATAATATAGATATAAAAAACTGACACCACAAGTACAACCATTTTATTCTTTAAGCAAATATGTATTTACCCTCGGTCAAGTTCTTCCTTCCGTCTCACCAACTTTTCTTTTTGGTCAGAAAAACTCATAAACTGGTCAAGAGCTTTCTTATTGACATGGCTGTATTTCTTAAGATGGGTGTTAGCTTTCTCCATTTCTTTAAACAACTGCAAAATACAAAGTAGATTTTACTGTAACTGTAAAAGCCAATGATTCAGCAGTGATCCTCTGACTGTAACAAAATACTTACTGCCTTCTGACTAAGATTCATGTACTTATTGATCATTTCAGGCTGTGGCAAGCTACCCAAGTCTGATATTTTCTTTGTGCATTCCTCAACTTTCTGCATTAAGGAATTGTGACGTGAAGTCATTTTCTCAAGGTCTTTAGCATCTTCTTCCATCTTCTCTTGCATCTCTTTTTCTTTCATCCTCCATTTTTCGAGTTCAACTTTCTCTGCTCTTTCCTAAGACACATCAAGAAAGAATTGATATTATAAAATTAATTGGAACAAATATTTTTTTTTAAAAAACATTTATTCATGTATTCCACACAAACCTTTTTAGTAGCTGCTTGAACTTTTTTCTCCATTTCTTTGTGAGCTTCCATTACATCTTCAATTTTTTTGGTAATTGAACTAAGGTCAGCACTGTTTTGATCTAGATGTCGTTTCCTGTCTTCCACAGAAATTTCTTGGAGTGCCTGTACAAGCTCATCTCTCCTCCTAATTAGGTTGTTGGTGAGAAGATTATCAAGCTTATTTTTCTCAGCTTCTAGTTTCATACGTTTACTGAAGGCTTCTTTGTTCAGTTGAGTGAGACGCCGAATTTCATCGTTCAGGGTATCTACTTGTCGTTGATCATGCACAGACAACTGAGCCATCAAGTCTTGATTTAATTCAGACTGCAGGCCTTCTCTAGTAGTTTGCATAGCCTCCAAGTTTGATTTGCATTGCGCTAGCGATCTTTCCTTAGAAGTCCTGTATCTTTCAATACTGCCCATCTCCTCCCTCATAAGTCGTATTTCAGCTTTGATTTGATCATATGTATCCTTAGCTTTACTGTTCTTAGTCTCAGTACGCTGCATGTCTGAAACTATTTTGTTGATTTCAGCTTCGGCAGAGCGAAGATCTTCCCGAACAGATACACACTCTTTGTCCTGTTCACTAATTTGAACCATAAGTTCACTACGAGTTTTCTGAATCTCAAGACGGGATCTTGAAGTATTAAAATATCCTCCAGTTAGGGAACCTTTAGAAGAAACCTGATCTCCCTCAAGAGTCACACAATCAAGCCCAGTCGTTTTAGCCAGGTTGGTGGCAACCTCTAAGTTTCTGCAGATCAATGTTTTCCCAAACACATATCGAAGCGCTTTGTCATAATCTGGCTTATAATTCAGTTTGGAGACCATTGGAATTGCATCTTGGGTCTTGGGATAATTCTGCTCTTTAACATGCAAACGATTCAGTGGCATGAATGTTACTTCTCCAGGAAGCTTTTGCTTGTTCATTTCCTTCAGAATTTGGGTTCCTACTTTGTCTGAATCTACAATATGATGGAACAATCTGTTACCGGCGGTTACCTCAACAGCAGTATAGATACTTTTTTCACAATCAAAATTCTCAATAACTGGGCCATAGTAAGAGTCAGCAACTTCAGCAAATGGACCTCCTTTTTGTTTAAATGTGTCAAGCACTTTGCGAACACTATCACGACCGTTCAGGATAGGTTTGCCTGCCATTGATCGCAACTGCTGGTCAGCTTTGGCCAGATCTTCTTTTAAGGAGGACTGATTTTGTTGGATTTGATTTTCTTTTTTCCATAATTCATTCCTTTTGCTTTGGTGTTGGTCTTTATTCTTCTTGTCCTCATAATATTTCTTATTATAATCATCAATACTCATTCTTAATTGATCCATTTGTTTTGTCTGATCTTCAATCTTTTTGTTGAGAAGTGCATGTTTTTCTGTATCTTTATTGAGATCATCAGTTAATTTTTTCTCATGGTCCATTTTATCTTTGATTTGTTTCGACAGAGACCTGAGAACAATTTTTGGGTTAAACAAAAGAAGACGTTAGATGGAATAAATACAATAAATTCCTAGAGACTTACTTTAGTTCTTTTTGAATCCACAAGTCTCGCTCTTCCTTTGATGTGAACTGACTCCCTCTGCCTTGCTTGGCATATAACTCTTTCCTTTTCTGCTCCTTAAGTGCCAAACTGGACAAATAAAAAGAAATAGATAAAACAATAATCACCACATTGGTTTCAAAATCTTCACAGCTGAGATTAAACTCACTCTCTTGTGAACTCTTCCTCCTTTTTCTTCTCCTCCTCATATTGAGGTTTTAATCTTTCTAGCTCAAGTTCCTTCTGTTCAATTGTTTTCTTCAATTTCTCCAACTCTTTCTCAGCACGATCCTATGAAGAATTTCAAACAAAGATAACAATAAATTAACATTCATTGATTGATTGATTGGACCAAAGGGGGAGTGCGGTCAATAATGCCGAGGCCAAGTGGTAACCCTGCTGGCTCAGGCCTCCGTTGGTCAGCCTTGAAGAGAAGAGTTAAAAGAATGCCAGCCCCCTGTGCTTGCGCAACAGAGTCGAGGTTACCTGTTACTACTAAGGGACTTGTCATTAATATTTCACAATATTAGTACATGATTAATTATGACTAACTTACCCTTGAATCTTTGTTACCGCTCACTTCCTCCTTGAGGTCAGAAATAGTCAAATTTAACTTGGCTTGTTCCTTAAGAAGTAACTGATGTTCAGCACTGAGAGTGTCCCTTTCTTCTTTAGTAGCCTGGACTTCTTTCTTGACTTCTTTTAATTTTCGATTGGCTAGACGAGCTCCCTCTTGTGCTTTCTGTAAGTCTGATGTAAACTTTTTCTGTTCTTCACCAGAGTTTTTACGATGTTGCTCCATCTATAAATTGCACATAATAAAATTACAAAATTAAAATTACAAGACTTAAGACCTCATTTTGTAAAATCCCTTAAAATACAGAACCTCTTCAAGCTTTTTACGGGTCTCCTTCAGCTCTCTATCATGAATACAGTATTCTAGTGATCGCCTCATTTTATCCCATTTCTGATACTCTTTTAATTCTTCTTTTTCCTCCTCAAGAGTTTTCAGTCGTTCTTCAATTGTATGCAAAAACTCTTTAATTTTGTCAATTTTTCCTTCCGTTTCTGCAAATGCCGAATAGAATTATTTAAAAAAATATAAACTAAGACATTCAAGAATATTAGGAACAGATGAAAAGGTGTCCTTGAATTTCCTAGTAAAATATAAGTTTACATGGAGTAGTGCAACTTTAATGACAATCAATACCTTTCAAGATGGCTTTGGATTCTTCTTTTCTCTCATCATAAACTCTAGTCCCTGCTACTTCTCTGAGTAATTTTAATCGGTGAGAATCTGGAGAAGTTGCCATTTGATTGATCTAAAGATAACAAACAAAAGGATTGGTAGAACTCTCAAGCAATGCAAACAGCTCACAGTAAAATCAAAAAGAGGAAGTTTTACCTTTCCCTGCTTCACAATATAATATGGATTTGAGCGAGAGAACCCTGCAGACTCCAAGAGATTCATGACATCAGATCTCGGCACCATTTTCTTGTTCAAAAAGTACTGATCTTTTTTGGCACCGATTACTCTCCTCAAATAAACTTCCTCCTTGTCGATCTACAAATTAGAAAAATAACACCAGTTCAACTTCTGTTTGAAAAGCAAGAAAAAAAAACACAGCAGTAAAAGAAAACTCATGGAACTTACCGGTAGCCGCCCATCTGTATTGTCAAAAATAATTTCCACATAGGCAGTAATGACTCTTGGACCTGTTCCTTCATGCAGAAGAGCTTGGCGCTGCTCTGGCCGTAGGTGAGAGAACTCATCACTGAGGACAAACTGAATTGCTGCAAAGGTAAAATGACGGTAAGCAATTCAAAAAAATGTCATTCTATTTCAAACATAAAATATTTCATTTACATTACCATAGAAGAAGTTGCTTTTTCCAGATCCATTTCTCCCAACTAAAAGGAAAGTAAGAAAGTAGTAACAGCATGTGAATAATTCAAACCTGAGATAATATTAATGAATGATGATACTCACCAACTACATTATGCTTCGGATCAAACGGTTCAACTACAGTCTGTTCTCTGTACGATTTGAAACCTTGTATAATGACCTGCATAAGAACAGACAAGGGATTTACTAAGGTACAAACAATTTTCAGTTTAAATGTTTAATTAAAAAAGTGAAAAGCATTAAGAGAAACGGGAACAGCTGAAGTAACAGGAAAAGAACAACAGGGAGTGAGGCTAAGACATAGAATAGCGCAGGTGATTGAAATATTTTAAAAAATCACACTTCAATTGAATCACCATCCCATGTACAAAACTGAATAGTGAAATGGTAAATGAAGGGTTTGAATGAGACAATTTAGGAGTGACACTTCTGGTTTCTAGGTTAGGGGGCTTCATGACAGTCACGAACATACAACAAAGGGTACAAATAGTGCTCATGCAACAACATCGAATTCGTCTGAAACACTTAGCGGAACATAAAACGAACGAAAAATTCATAAAAACGGAAAAAAGAACTGTTTTTGTTTTTTTCTGTCACTACGATCACCTGTTCACATAAACAATAAGTACTGGACCCCTCCTTACCTGTTTAATAAACATGGTCGAAGCGGTAATGCGCTACTGTTCTTAATACTTCTTTCATAACACACGTTTTCGGCTCGATTCCTGCTTAGTTCTATGTTCTTTAAAGAAAACTCAAACCCGCTGTTTGTTTGGGTACGACGAACTCCTCATCGACTGGTAAATGGCGGCATTTCGGTCGGCGTTGATCGGCGGGCGACTACGTGTGTTTTAAGATATTTAATATTTAGAATGAATGAATTACGCCCCACAGTAAAAGGTTTAAAGATTTGCAGGAAAGAAATTAGTATTTTCTCCAATAGATTGCGAAATTCATAACGAGCCAAAAAGAACAAATAACGTTTTAATAATAGGCAAATGAGTTGGACTCTAGTTGTACGTTTTGTAGGTTCTCAGGGGGGTCGGAACGTTTGAACGTAGTTCTAGTGTTTGCTAGCATTCCCTCCAATCTGCAGCGAGATTGGAGAGGAGCTCAGACTTGCGCGAGTAAGAGTGAGTATGCTCGCTCACTCAGTTAACAAGATTTATCAAAGTACCTAACCTCTTTTCCGGACTGCTTGAATAGCGCAGAACCGCGCATTTCAAACGGGAGATGAGGGACATACAAGGGTAAACCGGAGTAAACCTCAAAGGTAAACTAGCTTTTACACCCGGTATGGGAACTGCTACAATATATTTACATGGTACTTAAGAACAGACACAGCACAGAGGGAGAGGGGAGTAAGCATGAGACATCATTGATTTTTAATATACATCTTTATTCTTCCTCATCCCACATATATCAGGTCTCTTTTTAGCCAAGACTAGCAAGACAAACATTGACATGTTTCAAGACAATCACACAGTATTTCTGCTCCAAACAAACCCATACAAAATGCAACACTTCACAGGGGACATCAAGTTTATGCTGTAAAGACCTTGTAACATTCAAAGCTTCATCTGCTTCCCTGCTCTGCCCTCACGTCAATTTTTTTTTTCTTTTTGTTTTAGATCAGTTGAGAGTAAACTAATGTAAGTAATCCAAAAATACTATCCACTTTCCCATATCTTTTGAGTACAAGGAAACCAGTTCTTTTCAGCCTGAGTCATTGCACTGAAGTGATATGAGAGACTAAACTGATTCCTGTTGTGATCAATTATTAAAAAAAAAAAAAAACAATCACCATGACCATTAAGTACATAAAACATACACAAGTAGGAAAATTTGAGGTAGATAAACATCCAGAGTTACTTCAAAAAGCAAAAGATATGAAAAGGGACAGGACAGAGATCTCGCTACCCTCTGATGAGAAGCCAGAACAGAGAACATTAAGAAATTGAACCAATCTTTCGCATGCCAATTATAACTTTTTTTTTAAAAAAAAGAAAAGAATATGTTTTGACTGTTTCACACATCAAGACATAATCTCACTTCTAAACTTTAAAATGTACTTAGATTGTAAATTCACTACTCATAATTTTGATCTATGGGCTTTGAAGTGTGATATTTCCATAAGTACTACCAGGGGGTCATTACAAGGCTTGGTTTAACTAGCAGTGACTAACAATGTCTAGGACAACACACAAGTAAAGATCTAAATATGCCATGGTCTCAAACCAGCAGACCATTTTCTGATTCTCCTCTGTTAATGCATGTTTGTCTAATGAGCTGCAAGATAACAAAATTCATTTGAACATAGACATTACCTGAACATGTTATACAAGATAAAAGCAATTCATCCACTTATGACAGCATAATCCAAAAGCAACGGACAATTGAGAAAAAAGTATTTTATGCATCAGATTCTTAAGCAAGTCTTTAAATGTAAATGAACACTAAATCTCTAATTAATTTACCATTTCTAAGTGATGTTAAAACAAATAATTACAATAATAAGCTTACAATTCAACAGTCCACATCTGTGTGCCCCAAATGGTAATCCACATAAAATACAAGACATGCCTGTTAACCTGGGAACAATAAGCAAAACAATTTTGTTTAAGGAAGCTGCTAATCAAAACACTGAAACTTCTTGACAATTTTTGGAGCTCCAAATTTGAAAAACCTGTAACAATAAGGATTACTACTTGGGGCACCAGTCACTGGCTGTGATAAAATATTTCTTAGAGAACATATTAAAATATAGATAGACTGTACTTTAACGAGTAACAGATAAAGATTCTCTAATAACCACAGACACAAATTTTTGTTGTATTGAATTCCTTTGCATAGCATTTTACCTTCAACTTACTCCAGCCCTCTTTTTCCATTCATGAAAAATATGGAAGTCTAATTAGATCTATAGTCAATAGGTAATTTGTGCTAAAATATAAACAAGGCAATTTTTTTTTATTTGTTAATAAAATGTCTGCCTACCCCAAAGCCTGCATGGGCTAGGCTTCATTTAGTGAATGTCTCATACATAGCTACTAGAGCAACTGCAGTCTTTATGATACAACTGAGAAATGACAATCACAATCACATACATATATTAGCAGACACAATTGATTTGAAGACATTTCATTAGCATTTTTAAAAATAAAGCAAGAAGCAAATCCAACTTAAGGTTAAGACCGTTTTTACTTTGTTTTCAAGACTGAATACAACAAAATAAACTGTACTTGATCTGCACGTTGAGATTTATTAGTAAAGCACATCCCACTTTTGTTTGATTTTTGTTTTGTCTTTTGTTCTTATGCTACATTTGAAGGGATGGTCAGGTAGTTCACCGGTTATATAGGGAGTATTTGATTTTGAAATTGATAAAGTTCATTAACACAAATGCATAGAAATTCTTAGTAAAAATATGCAAAAAAGACAATAAGTTACAAGAACTGATTCTTTCAGATCAGTCCACAGATTGAAGTCCAACATATAATTGACCAATCAATTGTAATATTCCGGAGATTAACTTCCCTGCTGTTTCAAATTCTTGTGTGTAACCAATTGATGCAACCCTAAATCGTTGTCCTAAACTTAATCTAGCCAAATACCACAAAAAAAAGAAAATCAAAAGAAATCAACTAATAACTGTCAAGATTTGACTAATGGGTTAGCACAGCTAGTTATCACTTCATGATTTCAGCAACATCTTTATCACCCGATACATCTCATATTACCACCAACAAGAAGAATAATGTAAGTAGAGAAAAAACCCTTAATATAGATACAAAATATGAAGCCAAGATTCTATTAACATTGAGGCAAATAAAATTATACTTCATAAGACAAACCCCTACTTATCTACTAAATTTAGACACTCCTGACATACCTACAGTGTCATGGATATTTTTATTCTTTTTTATGAATGTCTGATTAATGTCTGAACACCAGAATGAGTCTAGCCATACAGAACCCAGAGGGATAGCATTTGTTCCAAAACAACCAACATCATGAACTAGGTAAAACTCACACTCAAAAATTTCAGCAAAAGAAAAAGAAACAGAAGTTCCACACATATACATACTCATCCTCATTCACATACTTTCAGTCACACAAATATATGATAATTGTTAAAAACGAAATGAAGATCACACGGGGTTGAGTGAAGGTTCAAAGCAGCGCATCAGGGACTTCTTCTAGGAAGATCCTCACTGAAACTAATTGTACAGCTCGGACGATTTCATTCCATGGCTGAGCACAAAGATAATCACAGCAGTAGACAAATAATTCATCACAATCACTTAGTCTTAAAATGACAGGGGAGGAAATAAATGAATCTGCAGTATACAGCCCTGATACAATAAGGTTTTAACATAAAAACAATTATAAGGGGGGAAAGTACTGTAACACAAAAAAAGGTATGACAGTAAATGTTATCTTTAAACTGAAGTTGATGATGAAAATGATTGACTAAACTAACACTTGAATGGAGAGGCAGATAAGTCTTTAAGACAAGCCTAACCTCAGAAATCCACCAAGATGTACAGCACAAATAACAAAACATTTGCATTACTCTAAAACAGTGAAAAGGAAGATTGACATAGAAACAAATAGGTAATAAAATATCCAACATGGATATGACATAGAAGCATGAACTGCTATCAAAGTTTCTTCCATAAAATAAAAGAAAAATACTGCATTTCACAAAGTTTTCACACAACCATTCACTTTTATACAAAGCTCCACTGATAACAGTGAAGCAAAAGTCACTCTCGTTCCGTACGGTTGGACTCACACATGCAAGCGTGATAATTTATGCATCAGGCTGGTTGTCAACAAGTTCTGAGATTCTGGGACTCCTGTCATTGCACTGAACTCCAGGATACCACGACATGCCAGGGATGAACTCTTTGGCCATTGGGTTAAACTTGAACTGCAACAGAATTGAAAACCAAATTCAATATCTTGATATTGATGGTAAAGGAGGGGGATAACAAGCATATATCACAATTGTTAGTACCTCAGATTTGGGTTGGTTTTTGTGGTCCTCTGTACCATTGCCCATTTCGTTTACTTGAAGTCCTCTCATAGCCATGACAATGTCAGAACCGGGTAGATTCCTGTGATAAAATAATTGATTCAAAGATATGGCAGGTACTGGATGCTAATGTCCTACTAGCTGAGTAACAAACTACAGCATAGTCAAGCTGACATGGGCAACAGATCTACTTACTGAACTTCAGGCAAGTAGGATGGAGTAGAGTTCTGCTGCCAGGACGCTGGGCTGTTCATTGGCGAGGTGTCGTCAATCATGGCCTGCATGCACTGTTCCATCAATGCCTCCTCCTCCAGTTCCTTCAAGACCTGGCAAAAAAAGAACACAAAAAAACAGTTCACATGTTGAACCTACACGTAGCAGAATAAGAGATGCAGTGCCAAAAGGAACCGCAGAAGCTCACCTGCTGATCAAACTCCTCTTCGTTCTCCATCCAGAAATATTCGGAGAAATCCCCATTCTCAGCAGGGTCAGGGCTCGGAGGAGCAAGGATCAACATGACATTATTCTGGCCATAATAACCATTCCCCGAGCCAGCATTGCTTGGAGGTGCAGAAGTTTCAGTTGGCAGCTTCATGTTGGAAGAAATCTGGGCAGAAAAAAAAAGAGATATGAGCTAGCTTCTAGCGCATCACATCCACGATGGGGTTTACTGTGGAGATGATATCCCTTCATTGTTGCAATATGGCTCGCGTATAAAGCACAAAAAGTAGTCATAAACATCAACAAGATTGTGGCAAAATGAGAATAAGGTGCAGTCCTTGGGGAAACTTTCAGCCAGTCATCGTTACAGCTGGCCAAGTTCGCCTTGTGCCTGGTCATTAGCCCCCACCCCTACACCTCCCCTCCCGACTGGAACAAAGGACGGCTCTTACAGAAGCACGACCCCAACCATATGCTAAACGTCGGCATGAGCTGGCGGCGAAAATTAACACCAATCGGGCCGACAGAAACGAGAACTCGTCCAGCGGCGTATCGCCCGGGGCCGAGGGGTTTCTAATGTGCACGGCCTACGCGTCCTCCATCTTGAACCGTCGCTCTCGAGGCCAGCAGACCCCCAACGAGGACGTGGTGAGCAAAAAGCTGTCGACATTACCACCGCACCCCGTGCACTTACGGAAATAAGAGCTCGGTCTCGACCTCGGGGAACCCTTTCACTCTACACTTCCGCAAACTTCGCTCGAAACGCCAAACTTCACGCTTCACAATCACCGAAAATAAAACTGCGTCGTCAAGATGAATGAGGCGCAAGCACACAGGCGAAATCGGCAATCAGCTGTTCAGTTGTTTTCGACGGTGCTGCGCAACGGCGGCGGGCGGACGAACTACTTTTCCCCGAGTCAAATCACTATCAAACAAAGTGTGCTCCAACCGTGCGAATGCCAGAATAAAGTTGACATTGGCCGATACGTGGAGATGGGCAGTCGATAACCTGCGACTCATGGAATTTTTCGCCACAGAGCCACTCTACCCCTCACGGGGGACCGTTCTGCGCGTCCACGAGCAGACGCCGCTTTGACTGACGTAGCCTCGGTTTTGTTTGTCTCTGAATTTGTTGTTGCGCTGCCGCGGCGCTTCGGCTGCTTGTTTGGGCTTGGTGGTCGCTCGCTTCGGGCTTGTCTCGTGCGGGTCTCGTGCTGTTTTCTTGTTTATTTCGCGCTGATCCGGGCGACCCGAAGCCGCCGAAACGCGAGGTCGGCGGCTCCGCGGCGAAGTCGGTGGAATCGGAGAATCCCAGCACGACACGGGCAGAGCGGAGCGCGCAGCCGACGGAGCCGTGACGTCACATGTTGACATTTTTACCAAAACAAGGCCCGACGAGGAGCTGCTGCTGCTGAAACCGTCTGCGCGTCAACGTCGCGGTGTGTTGTGTACTATCGGGTGTGCGTCGCGTGGCCAAGTGCGAAACCCCAGAGAGCTTCTAGTGTGACGCGAGAGCCTGCGAACGGCGGACGGGACACGACAGCGATGATTTCCAGCTGCGAGGAAGCCCTGGGCGGTGAGTACGGTGAACCCTCTGCGAGGCCCCCGCGGCCCCCGCGCGGCGGCCGCCGTATGGTCGTTCTTTGTTCCCTCTCCGACGGGCCCCTCTGTTTTATCGCTACGTGTCTGTGGCGCAGTTTGCGGGTCATGAGGAGGGAATCACTTTCGTCCCATGAGCGGACCATCATCAGGCCATCATCAGGCAGGCTGGCCCGGGGCGCGGGCGGCCTTTCGCTTTCGCATTGTTGCTGTGGGGGAGGGGAGGGTGGTGGGGGGATTTCTTTGTCGTTGATGGCGGTCGCTGCGTTGTGGGGCCGTCTGCTATCCGACCCCTCCTCCCTCCCCACTTCCTCCGCGGGGCGCCAGCTCGCGGTCTGGTGTCTGGTCCGCGGGTATTGCGTTGCAGGGTACAGGCGCTTTGTGTACGGAAGTGCGTCCCCCCCGCGGGCCGCTGCGTCACCTTGGCGTAGGGGCCTACGTGCCGCCGCGCAGGCCAAGAGAGCCTGCGGGGAAGGGCGGGGGGTGCGCTCTGTCTCTGTCTGTTGCGCTCCCGGACAGGGGAGGCAGGCCAAAGCCCCGCACGGGGGGTTGTTGTCGCTAGGCCCGCTAGGCCCTCCCCGCCCTGGCCCCCTAACTGCTCGTGGCGAGCCTTCCCCGCAAACACCACGGCAGCAGGGTGATTCACACTCATCGGTGGAGTGATCTTGTACACTCACACTCGGCGCGGCGCGCGGCGCTGTCCGCCGCAGCCTCTGCTTTGACTTTCTCGGGTTCGTTGCACCCCCCCCCTCTCCCCCTCCTTGCAGAAGGCTTGTGAAGAGGAGGAGGGGGGTTGAAGGGGCACAAAGGATTGCCATGAACGTTCTGGACCCCAAATGGGATGTGAAAAGGGGAGGGGGATGAGGGTGGTGGGGGGCTTTGACCCCTTTTCACCTCCCCCTCCTCCCCCCTGTCCTGTCGCTGGCCGGGGTTGCTACGGGAGGGCGGGGGCGGGGCGGTCGAGTGCTGCTTGCTATAGTTGGTTCACGAAATTCTGACACACCGGCACGCAAAGGACTTGGAGACAATCACTCCCTCCTTCTTTGTTGACGTCGTAAGCAGTATGGTCACACTCATTATAAGGG